TTGTGGTTGAGAGAGATCATCACCCCTTCCCTCCTCTCTCTCTCAGGCCTGGGATGCCATCACCCCTTCCGCCCCTCTCTCTCTCAGCCTGGGATGCATCACCCTTCCCCTCCTCTCCTTCTCAGCCTGGGATGCCATCACCCCTTCCCCCCCTCCCCTCTCTCTTCAGCCTGGAGTGCATACCCTTCCCCTCCTCTCTCTCTCAGCCTGGGATGCCATCACCCTTCCCCCTCTCTCTCCAGCCTGGGATGCATCACCCTTCCCCCTCTCTTCTCTCAGCCTGGGATGCCATCACCTTCCCTTCCTCTCCCTCAGAGCCTGGGATGCCATCACCCCTTCCCCTCCTCTCTCTCTCAGCCTGGGATGCCATCACCCCTTCCCCTCCTCTCTCTCTCAGCCTGGGATGCCATACCCTCCTTCACTCTTCATTCTTTTCTAGACTCCTTTCTCTTACCTGTCTCGCTACTCAACCCTGTCTTCCTTTTGGTTCACTCCTCTCTTCTCCCTCCTCCATCTAGCCCTCACAGGATCCCCATGGGACCCTTCCCCTCTCCCCAGCCCCAAGCTGCCCTGGGAGCCCAAAGACTAGGGGCTGGCAGAGGGCCTTTCCTTCCCTTGGCTGGAGTTGCAGAGTGGCTACCTCTGTCTCCTGTTGGCCTGTTCTGAGGACCTGGGCACACCCCAAGAGACCTGTATGCTTGGCTCACATCCCAGTCCTGGTGCTGGCTGAGTGACTCGGGGGTTTTATCTTGAAGGACTGGGAGTCACTGAAGGCAGGGGCATCAAGGTGAACCAAGGACCCCAGGTCTTGGTCTGATCTCCATGTATAAGTGTGGGATCTGGGCAAGTCAGTTGGCCTCCCTAGCCTCAGTTTCTTCATCAGTAAATTGGGGCCATGTCCCTTTCCCTGCAGTCCTTCCAGGTATTGTCACAATCACATGACACAATGAGTGCACAAACAGTTAATACAGTGTAAGGAGTGTGGCGCTGAGGAAGCCAGAGGAGTGGGGAACGAGATCAGAGAGGTGACAGGCCAGATGGTGGCGATAACATTGGCTTTTACCACGAGTGAGAAGAGAGGCTGCTGCAGGCTTCTGAGCAGGTGAGGGTGCTGTCTGATGTAGGTTGAAAAGGACCCCCTGGCTGCCAGGAGCAGCTGTGAGAAGGTCACTGTCATGCTCTGCAGGTGAGGGTGTCCCCAGCAGATGCAGTGGGGAGTGGGGGAGTCTGGGCCTGTCTGGAGACTGGCTGGCCAGGTTTCCAATGGATGGCATTGGGTGGGAGACCAGGAGAGAGTCAAGGGGAACACCATGCTTTGAGGCCTGAGCAATCAGGAAGGAAGGAGTTTCCCATGCTAAGGAAGAGAAGACAATGAGAGGAGCCTGTGAGGGGGCAGGAGAAGGGGTCCTTTGGACATGCTAAGTTTGGGATGTTCATTAGACATCCAAATGCAGCTGCCAAGTCAGTGGTTGAATATAGGAGTCTGGAGTTCAGGGGCAAGTTCTGGGCTGGAGACATATCTGAGGAGTCGTCAGCTTGAGGCTGGCATCTAAAGCTGTGAGCCCATGGCTGGGCATGGTGGCTCATGCCTGTAATCCCAGCACTTTGGGAGGCTGAGGCGGGTGGGTCACCTGAGGTCAGGAGTTCGAGACCAGCCTGACCAACATGGTGAAACCCTGTCTCTAGTAAAAATTTAAAAAAGTAGCCAGGCAAGGTGGCTTATGCTTGTAGTCCAGGCTATTCAGGAGGCTGAGGCAGGAGAAATGCTTGAACTTGAGAGACAGAGGTTGCAGTGAGCTGAGATTGCGACACTGCACTCCAGCCTGGGTGACAGAGTGAGACTCCATCTAAGGAAAGGAAAGGAGAGGAGAGGGGAGGGGAGGGGAGGGGAAGGGAAAGGAGGGGAGGGGAGGGGAGCTGTGAGCACCAGTCTGAACTCCCAGGGATGCCTAGTTTTCAGTGAGGCAGCAGCCAAAGCTGCCATGGGATGGGGTGCTTGTCATATGGAGACACTTTACCTAACGGCTGTTAGGCCCCATGGCAGCTGGTGAGGTCTCATCATCTCCTGCTTACAGATGAGGACAGAGGGGCACAGAGAGGGGGAGCGACTTGCCTTGATGGCACAGCTGGACTTGACCCCACTTTGTCTAACTTAGGAGCACCCCCCTCATCCTGAGCACACCCTTCCCCCCTGCAGCTCTGGGATACCTCACGCCCTGGGACTCCTTGGTAGGTGCCTACCTCTTTTCCAACAGCTCCTCAAGGGTCATCTTCCAATAGGGGTCCTGTGGGGGGCCCTAAGAGGTAGACCTTGGGGCTGGCAGTGAGTGTCCTAAGATCTGAGATCTGACACTGAGCCTGCTTCAGCAGGGGGATCCCACCTTGCATGTCTGAGCCAAGCAGCCGCCATGCAGCCACAGCGCCCAACCCGTGCTGTGAGCTGGGTCTCTGGCCTCCACCAGGCCTGCTGTGGGAGGCCCTCCCTGCTGAGTGCAGGTGCAGGCAGAGGCCCTCATGCCTCTCAGTGCTCATGGGCCTGTGGAGCCAGCGGGGAGGCCATCCCATACCCCAGGAGGCTGGCAGCTTGAGAAATTACCCTCAACAATACCAGGAGGCCCCTTCCCACACCTCCTCAGGGAGTGAAGGTACCTGGCTGGGAGGCCCACACGTGACGGTTAAGCCCCTCTCTCCACCTTGCCATAATTCCCCTGGCTGCCTTCCAGCAGCCCACTCCCCAGTGGGGTCCCTGTCATCCCAGGATATCAGGCCCTCTGGTCTCCAGATGTTGCAGCCCAGCCCCCCAACTCAGCCTTCTTACCCTTTGCAATCTCTCCAGGTGACCTACCAGCCTCTGATTCCTGCCTTTTTAGGAGGCTCCCCCAGCCAGCCGTGATGATGAAGGGAGTCCTTGAGATGATCAGTTCATAGGCCCAGAGAGGGACAGGGACTTGTCCCAGGTCATATGACAGGCTGGCCTCACACTGGGTGCTCTCTCCCTGGTGTCCCAGGACATCGGACATATACCTCTCCCACTCTGGGCCTCTGAATGGGAGGGGGCAGAGGAGATGTGCTCTGAAGTTCCTGCAGTTCAGGCTACCAGGCTTCTTAGAGACTCAGGCAACCCGGGGCTGTGTCTGGGCCATGTCATGCCGAGTTGCAAGATGTCCCAGTGCAAGCTGCAGGTCTGGCTGCTAAGTGTGTGTGTTTGCATGTAGATCAAGCGGGGTGTGGCTGTTGTCAGGAGTTGTGGTGTGCCTGCAGAAGTGTGTGTGTATAGACATGTGTGTGCCTTTTTGTGCATGTACATGCTCAGTGGTGCATGTGTGGTGTGTGTGTGCACGGGTGTGTGCCCATGTGCATGCAGATTGAGTGGGGATGGGTTGATGGATGTGCTGAGGGGTATGTAGCTGCTGGTGTGTGTATGGATGTGTAGGTTGAGTATATGTGCCCAGGAGTGTGCACACAGTGTGCAGATGTGTGAGTGCAAATGTTAGTGAGTGTGTGCAGGTGGATGTGTGTAAGTACATTTGTGTCTATGTATCTGTGCCCATATGTGAAGGTGTATGTGTGTGTGTGTGAGCCCAGCTGAGTCAGATGTAAGTGTGCAGCTGTGAGGTCAGGTGTATGTGTCAATGCAGGTATGTACGTGTATATTGATGTGTGTGTGTGAGCAGGCATGCATGTATGCACACACGCACTTGCACACTCCCCCAGGGTTCAGGTGCTGGCACAGAGTGAAGCTGTCTGTGCCGCTCTGGTGAGCAGGCGGCTGGATTTCCCAGCCTTAGCCCGGATTTCCAGGGCTTAACACCGCAGCATTTGGCATTACACTGAGCGGGCTTTCTCCACTACGTGGGGTTACTGCTCAGTCATGCTTGGGCGGGATGTGGCTGCAGAGGCAATCAGGGTGTGGGGAAGTTTATTTGTCTGGTTTGTACAGATTCGGAGGATCTTGGTTCCTATCAGGATCAGCCTGCAGAAGCACAAGGCAGGCAGAGCTCCTTGGTGCCCCCACCGGGGCCCCTCAAACCCTGTACCCCCAGGCCTAGCACGAAAGCAGGAAATTCATCATCCACATCTACAGCTGCTCCTTCCTGCGCCCTTTCCTTACCCCAGGTGTCCTCTGCCCTCCTGCATCCAACTCAGCTCAGACAAGCTCCTTCACTGTGGGGAGCACATGACTAGTGAGGTTGAATGCAGGATTCCTCACGGAGGACCGAGTACAGCGGGGGCCCATCCACACAGGGGAGCAGGAATGGTGGGAGTTCAGGCACCAGCGGGCTAAGAGGCGGGTGGATGGGAGAGGAGGGATCATAGCCCGAAGGCCGCCTCTCACTCTGCCTCCCTTTAAGACCTTCTTGGTGCCTGGGTTCAGCCCCTCAGGAGTGCCTGCTGGGGTCTAGACCACTGTTTCTCTGATAAGGGTTAATCTGCTACCACCTCCTGGTGGCCATGTGTGCCTTCACAGAATAGGGCTCCAGAAACAATGTCTGAGCCAGAGGCAGGTTCCCATGGTGGGGCTCAAATTCCACACCCTGGGGCAAGGATCGGAACTGGCGGTGTACAGGGCCCCCGCTTCTGCTGTGTACAGGGCCTACCTCCCAGCTGGGGATGGCTACAGGAGCCCCCAGGGCCCATGCTGGGAGGGAGGGTTCTGATCTGTTTATTTCCCTTGAATTTTGTTTGCAGAAAGGCTCCTAGGCTGAAAAACAAAATAGAACAGAACACCAATGACTGTGCTCATGTGTTCAGAGTTGACTATATCATTTTCAGCGCCCAGCACAAAATGGAAACGCAGAGCCCACTGTTCAGAAATTATCCACAATTCAATATGGTGGCAGCAGGACCTTAAACCGAGAGCTAGGCACAGGCCCCTGGGTGAGTGCCCAGGTTGTGCACTCAGCGCTGGCCCTGCCTGTGTTCATGGAGGGGCGTCTGGTGCCCAAAGAGGGGAGGAAACTTGTTAACATCCCACAGTGGGCTGGGGCAGAGTAGAATCTGGAACCCAGGACACTGACCCTCAACATAGAACTGTGTCCCCTGCAAGTGTTCCTCTGCCCAGAGGAGGGCCTCTATCCCTGGTCCCACCAACTCCATGTGGGCCCAATTGCACTCCACCCATCAACAAGGAGCAAAGGGTCTAAGATGGGGGTCTCGCCTGGAACACAACCCCTATTCCCAAGAACCCCTAGTGTGAGAGGAGAGCCAGCCCTGCCCTCAGGGAACTCTGATGTAATGAGGGAGAGGGAGACACACCTTGTCCCCAGGGAACTCCCAGTCCCATGGTGAAGACCCAGATGACAAGCCTCTTCTCCATTAGCCCGAGACTCTATGATATTCCCAAGCATCTGTTTTAATGCTCTGGAGCCTGTTCCTGCCCTCTCACTCTGGCCACCAGCCCCATCTCGGGCGGGAGAGGTATCCAGCATGCCCCCGCTGGCTGGTCATGACCTTTCCCTCCAGGAGAGCTCCGTGCCCAGGGGTGAGAGTTAAGTGGTGTCTGAGGATGGAGGCCTGTCTGTGTCTGGAGGGGCGCGTGCTCACCGGGGGACAGGCTTTCATTTCCCCTGGGCCTGTGACATTTTCCTGAACCAGTGGCCGCGCTCGGCCTCCTTCCCCTCGGAGCTCTGCCTGACCTGGGCCACGCCAGCCTGGAGGCTGCACTTTGAGGAGTGTCAGCGCCTTGGCTTGGGCACATCATGGCTGTCCGGTCATGCCTCCGTGTCCCCCATGTCTCTTCTCCTCAGTTTCACCTCAGTGCCTGCAGTCACTAAAAGCAAGTTCCACATGGCTTCACAGTCTGTGCTTGGGGTACCCTCATGGTTTAGGTGAGGTAGCTGCTTTCATCCCATTACACTGAGGGAAAAACTGAGGCCCACAGAAGGGCAGGATTCTCCTTTTAGGCCCAACAGCTTCTCCAGTCCCTCTCCCAAAGGTGGGAAACCCAGGACAGGGTGGCTGGAAATGAAGGTCATCCCATCCAGTGTCATGAGGCATTTATGGAGGGGTGTGCAAGGGACAGGGAGGAATATAAGAACTGGAAAACCTGGTCCTTACACGGGGGGTACTGCCAGATGAGGCCAGGGCCCCTATGCCTTCAGGAAACAACTCCAGACCTGTGTCCACACTGCTGGTCTGGGTAGAAGAAATGAAGGGTGTCATGGGGGCCCATAGAGTTGGGGGTCAGGAGAGGCTTCCTAAAGGAGGTGACACATCAGCCACGTACCAGGGCAGGACCCAGGCCCAGAAAGCAGATTTGGGGAAGAGCATTTCCTGCTTCCTTCATGCCCAGACCCAGGAGGCCTAGCCTGGGTCTCCTTTGGTCCCACCTTGGCTGAGGTGGTTCAGAGGGGCGGCTGAGGCCTGGAGGACCTGGAGGAAGGGAGAGGCAGGGAGGGGAATCCCAGACAGGGACAGTGGGAATTGCCGAGCCCTGCCTGGAAGGCCCTACTATTGTAAAATGGATTATCCGACACCCAGATTAATGGGCTTTCATTTTGCTAAACATCTGTCACCGTTAGTGCTGGTGAACGGGCATGAAATGAGCTCTGACTGCTGCCACCACCGTATCGCGATGGGTGCTGGGGATCCCGTGCTCTGCACTGGGGACCATTGGGGGGCAGTCATTGAATGGGGGTCTGAGGGGCTGTGATGTGGCCACTGGGTGTTGTTCCAAAGCACCAAGGGGTGCTCCTGTCACCCTCAGCCCTGAGAAGGGCCGGCTGTGGTCTCCTGAGAGCCTCTCCTCAGGCACGCCTCCTCCACATAGCAAATAACAGCAGTAACCTGAATTGGCACTTACCATGTGCCAGATGTTTTCCACACTTTTAAAACATTTATTAAGTCACTTAATTCTCACAACAGCTGTAGGAGGTAAGGACTATCATTATCATGCCCATATTATACATGAGGAAACTGAGGCACGAGGACGTGACGTGTCCGATATCACACAGCTGGAAGTAGTGAGCCAAGATTTGAATGCAGAAACCCGGGTCTGCAGTCCCAGCTCCAAGCCACGACTCCCTTCTGTCTGAAGGCAGCGGGATGCAGGGTGGGGTCCCCAGGTGCGTCTCTGGGTGGGAACTGGCGGAGGTCAGGGCTCACACGGGGTGGAGCCTGCTCTGATGCCGCCCTGCCCTCCGCCAGCTGTACATCCAGACGACGACGCTGACCGTCTCGGTGAGTCTGAGCGCCTCGGTATCCCTGGGAATGCTCTACATGCCCAAGGTCTACATCATCCTCTTCCACCCGGAGCAGAACGTTCCCAAGCGCAAGCGCAGCCTCAAAGCCGTGGTCACGGCGGCCACCATGTCCAACAAGTTCACTCAGAAGGGCAACTTCCGGCCCAATGGCGAGGCCAAGTCTGAGCTCTGCGAGAACCTCGAGGCCCCAGGTGAGTGCCTGGTCCCGTTCCGCCCCCTCGGGCCCCAGGCCCCGCTCCTTTTGCAGCAGGTCGGCTGAGCTCCTGCCCCACCCCGCCGCTCCCTACCCCGATGCCCCATCCTGGGGAGGCGGTGGGGGACACTGGGGGAACCCTGAGGCTACAGGTGGGAGCCAGCCTCTCAGGGAGAGCCCTGAGGCACTACATTAGAGCCGGTTCTGTCCTGCCCCTCCTGGTGGCCTGGAGAGAACCTCAACGTTTCCCCAGCCTGTGCCCTAGCAGCACCCTTCCAGGCATCTGTGCCCCACCCCAAGGCAGGCCACCAGGGGGCGCCTGGGCCCTGAGGGTGAGCGGGACCCCAGGATTTCCCTGTGCTGGGGCACGGGTCTCCACCTGTGCCCTTTCAGCCCCTCTGGGAGAAGGGGTCGTCCCAGGGGCCCTGCACACTGGCCCTTTGGTAACCTGGTTGGGTGGGAGTGGCCCTGGGCAGCTGTAACACCCAGCTTGGCTTTGTTCGGCCACCCCCTAGCAGGCACCTGGGCAATAGGGATCCGGGACATGAACTGGCCAGGACCGGTGAGTGAGGGCAGGGTGAGGCAGAGGGACCTACAGAACTGCCTAGCGGCGCTCAGGTAGCCGCCTGTCTGGGGGACTGTCTGAGGAGACCCAGCAGGAAAGGGTCATCCTTTGTGGTGGGGGAGGGCACCAGGCAGGGACCTCGGCGGCTGAGGGGCAGGCCTGCAGTCTGGAGCTGGCCAGGACAGGTCCCTTCAGGGCTGGTTACAGAGCAGTGCCACCATCTTTGCCAACTCTCCTCTTCCTCAGAGATCTGCCTGTGCTCCCCTGTTGTGGAGAGTATACCAGCTTCTGACACCCTCCCCTCTCTGATCAACGCCCCTTATGCCTGTGTGTTCCCTTTCCCTGCCCTGTGACCTCTGGTTCTTTCCAGTCCTCCTCCTCCCCATAGAACACCAGCTTCTCCCCACCTACGACTCTGGGGTTCCCTTCAGGTGTCATGCTGGCCCCCATACAGAGCAGGGAAGGAACAGAGGGGCCCATGGGACTCCTACCTTTGACCTTCCATGTCTACCTGGATGTCCAGAAACCCCAGATGAAGCCCTGACCAGGCCTTTCTGCCTGACTGGGGACCTCGTCCCCGCTTCAGTTTTCCTCCTTCCCGTGGAGACCTCCCTTCTCAGGTCCCAGGTCCCGTTCCCTCCAGGCCCCCTCTCTGCTGCGTGCAAGAGCAGGTCTGTCAGATGCGCTTTTCGCCAGTGCTCCTGAGAGTTAGTGGGTATTAGCCTCTCCTGGAGGTGACACCCTGACCTCAAAGGGTGACACCGTGGGTGCTGTGACAGGGCAGAGGGCCCCATAAAGGGTGGGGCCCTCACGGAGAGCTCTGATGGCTCAGTACTGGTCCTCTGCCTCTGCTCCAGCCAGTCACCTGGGAACATGGGACAATTACCCACTCCTGCCAGAGAAGGAGGAGTGTGGAGGCCTGGGGAGGGAGACCCCATATCCCCAGGTCCCTGCTTCCTGCCCAGAGGAGCCTGGGGGCCTCCAGGCTGTGGAGCAGCCCCCACGGGGCTCAATTCCAGCTGCTCTGGGGTTGGGAGGGACCGAGGGGTCTGTGGTCACCAGACCCCCTGCAGGCCTTGGCATCCTCCCCCCTGAAAATCTTAGGGGCTTCCATGGTAGGGAAGTTAGGGAGCCCCTCTCCCTACCTCCTATGTGAAGGCCAGTGGCCAGCACCCTGTGCCCCCATTGTCTCTCAGCTCAGTGACAACAGAGGCCATGGAGGCACCAGGCAGGAGTCAGGTGATTAATTCTGGGGGCAGCCGGACAGTGGGGGTGTGAGCAGGAGGAGTGGAAAGGTGTCACTCCTGTGGAACAGGGACATTTTTCACTCTGTCACTGGCAGGCTACATATCTTTAAACAAACAACAGAATAAATAATTCAGGGGCCTGATTGCAGGCAGACTGGGTGCGGAGACAAGGGGCGACAAATGGGGACTGTCAACTGGTGCCTAGCACTGCCTGGCTAATTGTTATCTGCGCCTCCGGCAACTGAAAACCAGCAGCCAGGGCCTGTGGTCAGCACCGGGTGGGCTCAGGGCCTCAGCCCGTACCCCTCGGCCTTCCCCTCATACTGAGAGTGTGCCGGGGGTGTTGCTTTCCCTATCTGGTCCCCGCTGCTGGAGTAATTCCAGCCCTGTCCTTCTGCCTAGCATGCTGCAGGATTTAAAGAGTGTTTCTGTTCACCTCTTGGCTGACCCCACGTGGTGTTTATTATCACCCCATCTTACAGATGAGAGAATCTCGGCTCTGAGAAGGTCAGTTTGTTAGAAGGGCCACATGGCAGGTGTCGAGATTGCCCCATAGCATTGCAGGCAGGACTGGACCCCAAGTTTCCTGACTTCTGGCCAGAGCCTTTCCCTTGGAGCCTCACTGTTAGCTCGTGGGGGCCCTGGGCAGACTCACGGCTCCCGTTTTCCAGATGGTGAGACTGAGGCTTGGGTGAAGTTCTCCCCAGCTTCTGGAACCCGTGAGCTGGGTTTTCTAGGGCAGACAGGTGGGGCATTAGAGGAGAGCAGAGGCCCTGCGGTCCTTCCTCTCCACACTTTCTCTAGTCTGCAGCTACCACTGCTGCCCCTCAGCTGCCCTCAGGCTTGCATCCCCTGCAGTCAATGGAGATTTTGTTGTGGCTGCTGAGAGTTTTTTTCACCTCTGAGCCAGGAGCTGCTGGGTTTTACAGGCTTGGAAGCTGAGTTTTATCAGTTCCCCCAGGGGGTGACGGAGCCCTGGGAAGTTGATTCTCACCAGCCTGGCCTGCTGTGATTCACATAGCCACTGCTGCTCTTTTTCTGACCATGGGGGGCAGAATGGGGTGAAGATGTTGGGGGCAGTTGGAAGCCCCTCAGGAGAAGTAGTTTAGGCAAAAAGACCACTTGCTGAAGTTACAGGCAGGGAAACTGAGACCCAGCAAAGAAGGGGAAGAGCTGCCTGAGGCTCAGAGAGAGTGTGAGGCCGCCCTGCAACTAGAATCTCAGTTCCTGCCCTCAGGGTGCTGGTCTGCGCTGATCTCCCTCTCACACCTCCTGCCATCCCAGGCCACCTCCTGGATGCTGCCCCCCCGAAACGGACCTTGACCTGTCCTGTGGTCCCTCTGCCCTCTGCCCTCTTGGTCATCCAGAACCCTGGAAGGTCATGGGTCCTTTCAGAGGTGAAGGTGGGAATTCTTCATGAGCTGTAAGGTGTCATGCTGTGTTCTTATTCTTTTTTTGGATGTTGTGGCACCATTTTCTTCCATTGGCAGCTATCCAGGTAGCACCTAAACCTTGAAACTTGCCCACCACCATCCGGCTAAGTGATTCTTCATCATCTGCTTGAATATTTCTGTTGACAGGGAGCTCATAGGCCACTGACTCCACTCAACTCTGGCCAGGAGAAAGTTCTTCCTTTAATTGAACTGGACTCTGACCTTCATGCCTCCCTACTGGTCCCATGGTGGACCCCTCTGCTCGCCCCGTCCCCAACCAGTTTGCTTCTTCCACATGTGATAGACTGATAGTTGGACACCGAACTCCTGCCTGTGTTAGTGGGCTTCCAGTTACACTGCTGTGACAAAGAGGTCCCAGAACTGAGCAGCTCAAATCAGACAGATGTTTGTTTCTCTCTGCCGTAATAAGACATCATGGGTGGGTGGGAGTGGGGACCCAGGATCTTTCCATCTTGTTGCTCCATTGGCTCCCTGAAGATTGAGGCTAGATGACCTCAATGGTTGTTCTGCTCATGGAAGGGAAAAGAGAAGCAGCATGGGGGAAAGACCCATTTTAATTGAATGACATGGGAGCTGCACACAGTCCTTCCATGTGTATTTCATGAGGAAGAACGCAGTCAGGTAAGGCCTCACCTAGCTGCAAGGGAGGCTGGGAAACCTAGTCCTTCAGAGTCATGTGCCCAGTGAAATAGGGGAGAGAGGACTGGGGGGACAATTTGCAGACCACCACACTTGTCCCCCAGTTTCCTCTTCTCCAGATGACCCTGGCTGAGTCTGGCAGATGTGCCTCCTTTTTGAGCCAACAGATCCCGACCGATAGTCAGGGCAGCTTTAGGACAAAGGGCAGCTGGTTTCTCCCACCCACTGCTTCTCTCCACACTCGTGGATCAGCCCCTGCCCCAGGCAGCAATACTGCCCTGATTACCACCACTGAGCCAGCTCCCAGGCCACTGAGGGAGGGCCTAAACCCTGGCTGAACAGGACAAAACCAAGGGTCTGGCCAGGCCCCTCACCCCTCTGGCCTTAGTTCCTCATCTGTCAAGTTGGGTGATGCTTCATTGGCTGCCTCACTAGGCTGCTGTGGGGTCTGCACTCTGGAGGGGTGGGGGACACTCACACTGCTCATGAGAGCTGCTGGCATCACTCAGCTATGGACAGGAATGGGAGATACCCCGATGTACCACCCCAGTCCCAGGGTGGAGTAAGGGCCAGAGGGACAGGGGCAGATAAGGGGGGCTCAAGACTGAGGGAGATGGGGCACCGAGAAGTAGAAAGGGTGGATGCTCAGAGGGCCCTGGGGATCCAGGGGACTTGTGTTTCCTTGGGTGTGGGGCAGAGTGCTGAGTCAATCGCATGCCTCAGTTTCTAGCCATGCATGGCCCCACTCTGGTTTTCATTATTTATTTCCTCTATCCCTGTTCCTCACTCTCTTCCCCTAGGCCACCGTTCTAATTTAATGTATATTCCTTACATGTGCGCATCCAAATTGCGTGTGGTTGAACTTCTGAAAGACTTCCCTTTGATAATATTTTAAGGTTATATGATGTCATAAAAAAAGGTTTCTTTTGAAGTGTGGTAGAATTAGGAGGTGGCAGGGGCCCCATGCTGGGGAGCCCCTCACATGGGAGTGGGGTTTGGGGAGGGAATGCTAGAGGAAGGAGTCATCTCTAGAGTAAAAAGGGAAGAGGAAAGGCATTCCAGGCAAGCAGCCCAGTCCGGCAAAGGCGTGGAGGTGCGAAACATGGGCCCAGTCCCTGGATGAGGAGCTGGGAACAGCAGGAGAAGCAAGCGGATGGGCCAGGCGGGGCTGGTGCAGTTTGGGGCAATGTTGGTAGCTCAGCTCAGGACTGGATGCCATGAGAGGTGGGGAGCTATGGTAGGTTCTTGTGCAGGATTATGCCCGTGTGGAAGGAGAGTTTGAGAAAAGCAGCCCCTGACTCCTGGGTACCCCTGGTCTCTCTCCTTCCAGCGCTGGCCACCAAACAGACTTACGTCACTTACACCAACCATGCAATCTAGCGAGGCCATGGAGCTGAGCAGCAGGAGGAGCCGTGACCCTGTGGATGGTGCGTTGGGCCAGGGCCACACCCAAGGGCCCAGCTGATGTCTTGCCTGCCCGTGGGCACCCACGGATGTGGCTTGGTGCTGAGGACAGCAGAGCCCCCGGCCGTCACTGCTGGCAGCCTGGGCAAGCTGGGTGAGCGACAGGAGCACGAGGGGCCGGGGCAGTGCCAGGCTACCACAAGAACCTGCATCTTGGACCATTGCCCCTCCCGGCCCCAAACCACAGGGGCTCAGGCCGTGTGGGCCCCAGTGCTAGATCTTTCCCTCCCTTCGTCTCTGTTTGTGCTGTTGGCGACCCCTCTGTCTGTCTCCAGCCCTGTCTTTCTGTTCTCTTATCTCTTTGTTTCACCTTTTGCCTCTCTGGTGTCCCTGGCTGCTTGTGCTCTCGGCCTTTTCTGTGTCTCCTTTCTGGCTCTTGCCTCTGCCTCCTCTCCCTCATCCTCTTTGTCCTCAGCTCCTCCTGCTTTCTTGGGTCCCACCTGTGTCACTTTTCTGCCATTTTCTTTCCTGTTCTCCTCCACTTCATTCTCGTCCAGCCGTTGCTCCCCTCTCCCTGCCACCCTTCCCCAACTCATCAAACCTTACATGTTGCAAAAGAGAAAAAAGGAAGAAAAAATCAAAACACAAAAAAGCCAAAACAAAAACAAATCTCGAGTGTGTTGCCAAGTGCTGCGTCCTCCTGGTGGCCTCTGTGTGTGTCCCTGTGGCCCGCAGCCTGCCCGCCTGCCCCGCCCGTCTGCCGTGTGTCCTGCCCGCCTGCCCGCCTGCCCCTCCTGCCGACCACACGGAGTTCAGTGCCTGGGTGTTTGGTGATGGTTATTGATGACAATGTGTAGCGCATGATTGTTTTTATACCAAGAACATTTCTAATAAAAATAAACACATGGTTTTGCACCTGGGCTCCACATCCACTGAGGGTCCTGCTATGGGACCACAGGCTCAGCCTGCAGCTGGAGGGCCTGGACCTAGAGGGAAGCGGGAAATGGGCTCTGGAGACCCAGGGCTTGGGGGCTGTGGAGACTGTTCCCTAGGCTGGGATCTAGTGTGCTGTGGAGGGGCCAGATTTCCAGATAATGGGCAGGGACATTGCAGGAAATTCCAGGAATCGGCACCTAGTAGTCCCCTAGTTAGGGGGGATGCTCTGTCCCCAGCCCTGGGAGGGTAACATTTCTGCCTTGCCTGTCCTCTGTCTCACACCCCTCACACCTGGGACTGCCCTTCCATCCCCGCCCCCATAACCTGCGCCTCTCTCCTTCCAGCCAGGAAGTCCTCTTCTTGAGAAGTTAACTTCCGGGGCTGCCAGCACTCACAGCCATCCCTTCCTGCTTCTGTTGTCTCCAGGCTCGGGTGCTAAGATGATGTGTGTCTGTCGTGGAGATCAGTGTGTTGTATGTGTCCACGTGGGCCCACAAGTGCACGGCACAGGCATGGCCGTGTGGCTGTGTTGGCTGCGTGTCTGTGTGCACGCCCAGCGCGTCCATGCACATGCGTGTCTGTCTTGTTTGAGTGTCTGGTCGTCTGTTTGGGTCCCGGTGGCTCGTGTGGATTCCTGTCTCAGGCCCATGGCGAGTGTTCACCGCAGCTGGCTTCCCTGGCGGGTTGAGAGGTGGGAAACAGGAACCCTTAGGGGCTGGGCTCTGGCTGGGGTAAATTATAGAGCCTGCGACACAATGAGGCCATAGGCAGCAGCTGGAGCCCGGGCTGCCTGTGCCTCCCCCTCCTGCCCCGCCCCTGCCCTGCCCCGCCCCCAGGTCCTGCACCCCCTCCCACCTCCAGGCTAGCTGACGTCGCTGTGGAGCACAGTGGAAGGGACTGGAGGAACCCTGGGCAGGGGGCCAGGCAAGGACAGGGTATGAGGGTGTGTGTAGGGGTGAGGCTGGGACACTGAATTATGCCAGGTATCATGTCTTCTCCGTCAGCCCACTCTTACTTCTGGCCTGGGCATCTCACACACCTGTGTGTAGGAAACTCTTCTTCCCTGGGGTCTGTGTGCAGCACCTAGTAGATGCTCAGTAAGTGTCTGTGTGAGGGACGGAGACAGGAAAGGAGTGCCTCACTGATCATCTTGCAGAAGGTTCCTAAGACCTCTGCCCAGGAAGGATTCCACCCAGTGCTCCAGCCCGGTCAGGCAGAACTAGGTTGCCAGATCAAGGGTATCTGCCGAAAGCTTCCAGGGCAGTGGGGGGTTGGGGGTGGGGTGAGGGGTAGGGATAGGGAATGCAGAAGGGGGTACAACCAGCTCTTCCCCAGGGTGACTCTGGCAGCACCCCCAGCCTGGGCACCCTGCCCGCTCTGTGGCTTACACCCCTCCTGAAGTGATTGCTGCTCTGAGGTCCAAGGCTAGGTCCAGGGCAGGGCCTGCAGGGGTTTGATGCTCAGCCCAGGACTTGCCTAGGTCCCCCTACATCTGTGGGACCCCCATCTAGGTTCCAACGGAAGAATCACCTCTCCAGGGGGGCTGCTGCCCCTCGGCTCCCCTTGGCTCTCAGGAGGGGCCCTCAGGGCCTACCAGTCCCCTGCCAGTGGGGAGAAATAGCCCTGCCCTCAGGGAGCTTCCAGTGTGATGAGGAGATACAGCAGACTGTGTCCCAAAGTAAAATGACTGTTAGAATGAGGTGGGTGGAGGAGGGAAGCCTTGGGTGAGTGTGACTTTGGGCATCTGAGCCTGGGGTGCAGAGGTGGGCTCTGTGGGCCTGAGGTGGACAGAAGGGAACCAGGCCCTAACAAGACTTTTGCCAGCTAGACCTGCTGCAGCAGTTGGGAGGGTGGGTACTGCTGGGGTCCTGGATCCATCACCTAGAAGGCTCAGGCCAGTGCAGTCAGGACTGGGTCCCATAGCTGGGCTGGGTGGGACCTGCCCTGATGCCTGTGGTGGGAGGGATGCCTGGCCCTTCACGGGTGGCTTGGCTCCTCGCCTTTGTTCTCATCCTCAATTATCAATGACCAGAGAAAGCTGCTAAGAATCTTCACAATGTTAGATTTCAACAAGATGGAGGGGAGGTTCAGGGTCCCTGGCACCCTGGATAGGGAGCCAGCGGCCCCCAGAGACCTTTCTATGTGCAGGGGGTATGTGCTCACCCCTGCGGCCTCAGCCTCCTCAATGTCTGAACGAAAGGATTGGGCTAGCGGACATCCCATCCCACAGCGCACTTTCTAACCAGCAGGGCAACTTCTAGACAATACAGACGCTGGGCTCCCCCCCAGACCACTGGACCTGAACTTCTGCAGGGAGGGCTGGGCACAGGCACATTTTAAAAGCTCCCCAGCAGATGGGCCGTGCAGTCAAGTGGGCCAGGTGTGGCACCAGACTTTGGGGTTTGTGAAGTCAGGAGGGAGCAACAGTGCCCACTCGAGCTTGCCTGGGCTCAAGCCCAAGGCTGGGCTGCTGCCAGCCTGAGCAGACACCCAGGAACTTTGAGGCCAGCTGGATGCACAGGGCACTTTTGTGGAACTCATAGGACCCTGGGGAGACCAGCCTCAGGAGCAGAGTCTCAGGTCCCTTCGGCCTCTGAGGGGCTGTTCTGAGCTCTAATGTCTTATGGTCTGCCCCTCCCATCCTTCTTTCTCAGGCCGTGGAGGCAGAGGCATAGAGCCAGGCAGGACAGAGGTCTCAGTGGGCCACATGCCAGCTGCCCCCACACTGCCTCAGCGTCCAGGCCCTCCAAGGGGTCCTGGGGAGCCCCTGAGAAGATGCTGACCCTGCAGAAGGCTGGGCAGCCCACTTTCTGACACCCTCACTGGCTCCACAGCTCCCCCTTCCCATCCCAGGTTTCCATGTGCCCACTGAACAGGGAAGGGAGACTGAGGCACTCCCCTGGCACTGAGGGCTCCTTCTGTCCTCCTGCCTGCCCTGGATGATCCTGGCTGCCCCTCAAGGCTTGGCCTTGGCACTCTGAGCCTCACAGGGCTCAGACCACCACCCCCAACCCAGCACTGAATGGCACTCGGCACCGGAATCTCACTTCGGTTGGCAAAAGCAGCAATTAGCATCTAATGAGGCTTCTTGCTTTATTTTTAGGTAACCTCCAAGGCCCTGCCTGTGTAATTCAGCCCGCCATTGCTCGGCAGATAATTAAAGCATGTCACCATAATTTGCCTTTTTTTTCTATAAAGCCCCATAATTATGTTTTTATTGCGAGTGAGGGGGAGAAAGAGGGGAGGGAGAAAACAAAGAGAGGTGGAGTTGGGGCAGGAAATGGGGCTTGGCTCCTTCAGCCAGACCTCCTCCTACTCCATCCGCAGAACCAGGACCCCCGCCCCCATTCTGGGTGCAGCTACCCCCTGGGACCCACCTAACTTCCAGGGCACCTCTTCCCCCTTTTCTTATAAAACCAGCCCCAGTTTGCTCCAAAGCACACAGGGCAGGGAGCAGCAGAGCTGAAGCCAAAGTGGCCAAAAGTGGATGATTCTTGAGCGGGGTGTGGGCACATGGGAAGTCTCTGTGCTGCTCTCCTTCCTGTATATTGGAAAATTTCCATAATAAAGAGTTAAACAAGCTCCACCCCCAGGAAAGGCTTTGCTGACTGCAGGGCAACTGGTATCTGCCCTCAGGGCACTTGTTCTTCTTTCTGACTATGAGGTGAAGGGCTGTCTTTTTGCACCAGGAGATGCATTTCTGTCATTATTTTGGTGCTGGTGAGTGGCAGTGGGTGATCCTTCCTGGAGCATCTGAAATCACTCTCCAAGCCTGCAGGCCAGCTGGAACAGGCCGGGCAGCTGCACACATGGTTTGAGGGAGCTCACTGCCCCCAAACATCTTCCCAACTCCAGCATCAGTGCCCAGAATTCTGTGGTTAAAGCCTCAGGCATGTTCTCCCAAAACACATCAGCCAGCCAGCAACCATACTGGAGTTCAGCATCAAGAAACCAGTTGCCCTGAAGGTGTGGGACAGGGGACAGGTAAGTTTTGAAGTATCTGGTTTTGAAATAGCTCCCCAGATTACCCGAGCTCAAGAGCAGACCCTCTCCACTTTCTGAATGCCCCTTCAGCCCCAGACTTCATCCTGTATTCAGAGGGCTTGCTCATAGTTTTCACCCACCGCCAGACTGTCAGCCCCCACCAGGGCAGGGCATTTCATTGCAGTGAATCTCAGGGCCTAGGACAGTACCTGGCACATAGTAGGCATACAAGAAATGTTTGCTGAATGAATAATCAGGGAGATGGGGCTGGAATGGATACTTAGAGGAGCCTGTTTGGCTGTATCCCCACCCCCTAGCACTCAGCAATATCTGAGTCTCTGCTCAAAGTTAGTTTCTTCACTTAAGCTTCCCACGGTCTTCCCCAGAGGTCTGGGGAGAGCTCGGATGTAGCACGCTTGTCATTGGGTAGAAAGTGACCCCCATCTGCCTCCTAGGATGACAGGCATGCTGGAGTGAAAATCAGGTGACCTGGATTCTGGGTAAGGCTCTGCGACCAACTTGCTGTGTGCCCTTGGGCAAGTAGCTTCCCCTCTTTGGGCCTCACTTTCTTCATCCTTAAAATAAGGGATTGAGCTCTGAGTGCTCAGAGCCTGAGTAAGCAGCCATCGTTCCAGCAATGCAGAAAGGGGAGGCTACTGCCAAGAAGAGGCTTTTGGGGCCAGTTGCTATGGCAACTGTGCACACACTAGGGGGTTGGGGAGGGGCTCGAGTATGCAAATCAGGCCCTTCCTTTGGCTTCCCCAGCCCAGGTTGTCTGTGCCTGGAGAAAGAGGTTTGTTAACATTTGGAGCAGTGGAGGAGGATGGAGAGCCGGTGGGGGTTGTCGGAGGAGGGGACCAGTGAGGGTGGGCCCGCCATCCCTGCACTCTGCCACTCCTTCACTGGCAGGTGAAGAAAGCGTAGAATGAGGGGTAAGCTGGGTGGGGCCCCAAGGACCATCCACTGTTCCTCGTCATACACATTAACAGAAGAGG